GGGATATTTTTGTGTGTATGTGGTACCTGTATGAAAATGTTGAAGCGTGGATCTCGCTTCTGCCTGGTCTTGATCTGGTCCAGGGCCCATGACTGGTGGCTGCAGAACCTTGCTGTCAGTTTCTGGAACCACTCCCCCTCTGTACCACCAAACTGAAACACACGTGCACACACAAACATTACAATTAAAGATTGTGTTGTGGCTAGTTGGAAAAAAAAAAATCATAATAATGAAGTGAGTCAAACTCGAGAAGTGCAGAAAAGGCCAAAATCCTTGTTGCATTTTTACAGTAATATTGTGTAAAATGAACTTGTTGGCACATACTGACTTTGTACAATATGCACAGAGAGAAAAGAGAAATATTGTATGATGAAATGAAGTGAAAGACTGTGACGACTCACTCTGTTGAGCACTGTGGTGCTGATGGATTTAACTATGAAGTTGTTATCCAAACGCTGTTTCTTAAGGCTCTCATAGAAGTTACCTGAAATTGAAAGTTAGAAAAAGACAACTGACTTATAAGTAGATACTGAGCATATTCTCTTTCCTAACACTGTGTTGGCAATTCAGGCAGCACTATGCATTCGTCTTGTATCTACACTTGGTACTATTGGCCAGAACAAATTTAGCATCATGCTTTTTTAACGACAGCGCCCTCAATTGCAGGTAGTACATGCAGTTAGTGATTTTACTAATGAGTAAGGAAGAGTGTTATTTGCATAATGGCATATTCGTTGAAGGAAGGGTGCTATATTCAGCTGTCTGGCTGTGTTTACAAATGCTTCTTTGCAGCAGCCCTTACTGTGCATTTCAGTGATCTCATCAAGGTTGGGGAAGACGGCGGCCAGCTCAGTTGAGGTCAGAAGCTCCTCTCTCTCCAATGGTCTGACAAAGATCACCTGAAGGACACTCAGCATTCGCACATGTGCGTGCTCTGTTGTAAACAACTCTGAGAGGAAAGACAGTAGTAAAAGTATGAGTGATTAATAGGAAATTTAAATATAGTCTATACAACAAACTCCTCTATCGTCTCATCAACTGTTTGTCTCTCTCTAATTACCATTTATGACTTCCTGCATTTTGGTCTCCTTCTTGGTCAGTCTAGACAGAGCCTCAGGAGAGGCCAGCTCCCTCCAGTTGGGTGGATCAGACTCAAACTCCTGCAGCCGCGGATCCACCTCCTCCACCTGTGGGAAAGGGCTGGTGGGGGAGTGGCCAGGCTCTGGAGCAAAACTTAGTCCTTCTGGGCTGAAGAATGAATGTGGGGCGAGAGGGATTACTTCAGAACAAGAACTACAACTTACACGAAATGCGCCCAGTCAGTTATCAAATTATGCGACTCTTTCTGGCAGCACAGCTGGAGGCTGTTGGCTGTGGAACAAAAGTAGTTGTGAAACAGCTGGTCTTTCTAAATGCATATCAGGGACATGTTAACATTAGATAATCTAGATAGTAAATGTTCACTGAGAATAACACGATTTCAGTAGCTTGTGATAATTCACCAATAAATAACAGGCAATGGCTCAGATAAAACAGAGATTTTTTTGGCTTTAAAGTGATTCAAGAATAATTGAGATTAAATCTAAACTTTGAAAAACGCACCATTTCCTATTACTGTATAAAAATATAATCAAAGAAGAAACTGCAAAATTCTTTACATTCGAAAACAGCAAGTTAAGCTAATAAAAGGGCACTTAATGTTTATCAAACGGTCAATATTGACCGACCTCGTTCCCCTAAAGAACCTCGTTATCATTGTAAATGAGAGTGCTGTTTAAATGCTTCACTCCCCGATGCTCACAGCACAGGTCAACTATTAGAAAGCAGCCAATGTGTCAGGCAACTGTTAGTCAGTAACAGTGCCAGAGTGATCAATTTCAACAGGAGAAAACAGAAATGTGCCTTTTTAAATAATTTCCACTCATCCACACAATTAGCACTATTTTCCATGAATATTTAACAGATATTAACAGATATGCCTCCTAAGTGATCTTTACAGTGGTGAGCCAGGTGGCTATAAGCCTTCAAAATTATTTTTTATTTTTAAAGTGCTTCCTGATTATTTCCGGACTGCAGCACTGTTCCTACTTCAACTTGACATCCTGTCTGTCCCTGCTGTGCACCTCACGAGGAAGAGAGTCATTAAGAGAAGGTTTGCCCATCTTACGGATGGAGGTGTTGGGGGGTGAGCGGGGCAGGTGTTGTTGTCGTGGAAGAGGGTGGCTGCAGGTCCACATCGCTACGGGAGCGAGACTGTTTGGCCCGAGAAGAGCCACGCCGCCGTGATGACTGTCGGTCCACTCGGGCACTTTCACTGCGTGCCACTTTCCTACTGAAGGGGTTGAAGTTGGGAAAGGATGTGGGAGGAAGGAGTCAGTTTGAGACAGAATAAAGAGAAATGACAGGTGGAAACAAAAGAAAGCAGCAGGAAGAAAAGAGGAAAATGTGTGGATTTTAAGAGGAAAAGGGAGGCCAGAGAATAAAAAGAAAAAACAGAAAACATAGTAGAAGGAAAAGACAGCAGATGTACGTAGCAGATGTACATATGAAGATAGGTAATTAGGATGATAAAGAGGATGAGATAAATCAATAGAGAATTTACACAAAAATATAAATCACATCAGCAAAAGGTAGAGAAAAAGAAAATGGATAACAAGCAAATATGCATGATATGACATGCATATGTTTAGATAGTAAAAGTATATTTCATACACTGCATTAAACTGCCAATCTACAAAAGGTATGTTAAACTAGCCAGGCATTGCTTGTACTTTGTGGACTATACTGTACAAGTTTTCAGTTTTGCAACTTTAAGCTATCTCAGCAGTTCTCCAGTTTCACACAACATGCATAACAGCAACAACAAAAAATCCAGCTAATCTCAACAATCAGCTAATTCTTTCACAAGCAGGTTAAAAATGTTTCACCATGTTTATGTTACGTATCTGCAAAGCACTGTGAAGCTCAATGTGAGCATGTGCATGTGAGTGTTGTGTTCTGTGTTTGTGTGATATGCGATCAGTATAAGGCCTGAAGCATGTCCATGACTCTGTCAAGGCGCTGACACCCACCTTGTCTTCCGTCTGCAAAAACACGGGACACCACATTGTTACACACTCGCCTTTACACAACTATTGTAAGCCACAGTGACAACCATAACGTTCAAAAAGCACATCCCTCCATACTATCCTAAACTAATTTTAAAACCTCTGTCAGAATAGCATGCCAAAAACGATGCCAAAGCCCCTGGCACAACATTTAACACCACATACGGTGGAGACAAGCAGGACAAAGGACGGGCCCTGACCATGGCAACAGACGGAGACACCTTGAAAAGCACATAAAATAAAAAGCTCTAATGAACTAAAAACGCTGAACTAAATGTAGTGTCTATATTTGACTATTAATGTAATTACATAGTGTTAAGTTTTGTCTCAAGCCTGGCAGTAGAACAACTTGCCAATATTCAAATTCTTATAAAGCTTTTACTTTGGCTTAACAAGGCTAATGGCTGTGACTTAGAAAGAGTCAATATTGATGCAATGGCACTATTATGATCACAAATATGCAAGTATGGATAAATATGCCTTTTTATTGCCAACATGTACCTCAATCCCCCCCAAAAAAGATAGAATTGCACAGCGGATGTCTATATGCGACAAAACCTGCAATAAAGCTCTGCTGTAAACATCAACAAGAGATGCAAAGGACGCAGACACAAAAAACACAGAAGATATTTGAAAGAGCACACGTGCCATTATGGAAAAGAAAAAGGAGAGAGGGAATGAGGAAAGGAAAGGCAGAGTGCTGGAAGTAGAAGGCTGGATTTGGGTTCACCTGATCGGGGTCCATCTCAAGACTGAAGACTCTGTTAGCTAGCGAGCAATGGGCAGCATGACAAAAGCTAGCACACAGCAGGGACAGACTGCTGGGGGAGTTTTACCACGCTCGCCCCAGCCTCAGCAATTCAAACACATTTTGTTCCCCCACTTTACCCTGGTCATTCGTCTCCCATAAAGTCTAATTATAATCTGATTACAATCTCTAAATCTGTGAAATGCTTATAATCTCTTACTCATTACACTGCAGATATTACCTTACTCCCTAGACAATACTTGTTATTACTATCTCCGTCCTTCTCACCTTTCTTTCTCCACAGGCTCCTCAGGCGGGATGTCACTGGGTGAGATGGGCGAGATGGGCTCGATCAGCCCACCTGCAGGCCCAGAGGGCAAGTCATCTTGCAGAGTTGGAAGCTCTAAACGATTGCTTGGGACAGCTAGAAGAATTGAAAATTAAATTTAGCATTTTTCTGTTAAATAAAATTGACCTTCTGTTTTAAGCAAAAGAAATAATGGAAATCATTTTACAAGAACACATCAAATCACTCTGAAGGCTGGTATAATATAATAGTGATACAATTTTTATGTGCCCATAAAATGCCTGTGTGTTATATCTTGTGTACATTAGTACTGTCAGGGTGTGACTTTTAGGAGAATGTTAGAATTTAGCCCAAATCACAACATGTTTTCATTTTAGAAAAGAGTTTTAAACTGAAAACTATTTCTGGCCAGATAAATGTTTCACCATCATTTCAAATAATCTCCTGAAAAAGCATGTCACGACACCATGACAGCGGCAGTGCAATAAAATACTAAACAGGGACACCAAAACAACAGTGGTGTATCTCATTCATCAGTATCAATGAGCAACCTTACCATCACTGTGTGCCTCTATGGTAGTCGTGCTGGTGGCGTTGTTGCTTGGGGAATCAACATCTACCGCAGGTTGCACAGGAGGGACTAGACTCTGCTTCTTGTTCAACGATATAGTGGGAACTCCAGAGTCATTCGGGGTGGTTTTAGCACCAGGACCTTTGCGATCGACTGACCCTCTATCCCTGTCTGCTTGAGAGGACGAAGAAAAAAAACCCAAACAAACAAAAAACCATGACCACAAAGAACCTCATTCACTTAACAACAAACAAACAAACAAAAAACAGCACACAGCAGATTTTGTGAGTCAGACAGACAGGACTTCTGCAGCTAACAAAAGGACTGGTTTGAAACAAAAAGTATATCAACAATGTTTTTTAGATTAATGCAAGTCTCTGCAAGACACAAAACAAATGGGGAATCCTGAGTTAAAGTGCAAAGTCATCAACTACGAGATTTGGATGGGTATGGGTTAGGGGGCCACACAAGTGATTTTAGCCAACAAGGTCTAAGAGTTGAGGAACAACCATTTAGATTAGGAAATATTTATGAAAACTTATGACATTTTCAGTGTTTAAAGACTCAGTGCTAGTATAATATTTGTAAAGAACCACTCCAATGCACAACATCAATTAAACAATGCTCCACCCACATGCTTTGCTGTACTGATTCAGGACATGCACACATGCTTGCGGGTTAATTAGTACCATTCTCAATCTACAAGTTAAAAAGCAGAAGGGGAGGATTCTGAACAGTGACTACCTTCATCCACTTTAATTTTGGACTCAACTGTAACTGGAAAGAAGGGTAGGACAAAATATTTTCATATCCACATTATTCATCAACATCACTTAGCAAATTTTAAAAGTCAGTATATTATATAGTTTAGTATATTAATTATAACACAGGAAAAATAAAAAAAATTGATACACACCCATCCAGTTTGGTAAAACAGGAAACACTCTTGAGCTTTTGGCCTTTGGGATATCATCCTTACTCTTGGGCTGCAATATCACCAGGTAGGAAATTAAAAAATAAGGTAAAATTAAAATAAGATCAAAAGGCTGAAAAAATACAAATTCAACTACAAAATGGTTTAAGAAGAACACTGCAGGCCAATAATTGCCTTGCACTGTTCTGATTGTTGATGCATTTATTTAGCTTTCTAATAGGATACCAATGCTGTCAGTTTACCTTACCTTAGTCTTTCTAGTGAAGAAACCTCCTTTGGACTTCTTACTGTCAGCTGCCTTGTTTTTAACCCCGAGGTGTTTCATGTACAAGACCACAGCATTAAAGATGGTTTGGCTAGTGGAGAAACAAGAAACTTGTGTTAATATATAGTTTTTAAACAAATGAACTTGCTTAAATTCCCAGAATATATATCTATATATCCATCCATTCGCTTCCGCTTATCCTTTTCAGGGTCACGGGGGGCGCTGGAGCCAATCCCAGCTGTCATAGGGCGAGAGGCGGGGTACACCCTGGACAGGTCGCCAGTCTGTCGCAGGGCCAACACACAAGGACAGACAATCATTCGCACTCACATTCACTCGCACATTCACACCTAGTGGCAATTTGGATTTTCCAATTAACCTATCCCCACAAGCTGCATGTCTTTGGACGGTGGGAGGAAGCCGGAGTACCCGGAGGGAACCCACGCAAACACGGGGAGAACATGCAAACTCCACACAGAAAGACCCCGGCCTGATGGTGGAATTGAACTCAGGACCTTCTTGCTGTGCGGCAACAGTGCTAACCACTGTGCCACCGTGCTGCCTATATCTGATATCTATATATATATTTTATATTTAAAGTCCCTACAGACGCATGTGTCCTCACATTAATGGCAGCAAAAATACCAGTGTGCTTATTCTATCTCCAAGTAATACAGTTGAGACACTTGGTTTAAAAAAAAAGAAAAAAAAAGGACGAACTTCATGAAAGACTAGAAGGAAAGAGGGAGTTGGAGAATTGCAGATGTCCAGAGGAGGAGCATGAGAGGAGGAGCTCAGAAGAGTGGGAAGGGAAAAAAAAGAGACACAAAGAGCTGAGGAGATATTAAAGGAGCTAGGAAAGGGAGGAGACACTGGGGATGTGCATAGAACAAAAGTGCATCACATTACCAGACACTGCACAGTTTCTCAGAGTCTGCCGCCTGAGTACAAGGCGTACAATAAAGAATTTGAACTGAAGAGGACGAGGAGTCCTTAGAGAGTAGCCTAAAGACACTAAGGCATGCATGACAAGGTTAGTCAAATATATGCAGAAAGAGAATATATTGTCTAATAAGGACATTAAAAGAAAAATTTAATGCAAATAGAATAAAAACGAGTGCAGTGACAATACAGAAAAAATATATATTTTTGGATTGGATTTTCTAACATACTTCTACAGCAACATACATTTTGAAACAGTATGCCAAATGTTTGGCCGGACCACACCCAGGCTTGCAGAGGTCAAAGCTGCTACACAAAGAAGAAAAAATATATATACACAACAACACCATTGACTCACCATTTATCCTCATCAAAGGCACCTGTTGATCTGAAAGAACAGAGACAAGTGTCAGCGATGTCACTATTGTAGACAGAAAAAACAAAACAAAGAAACAAACAACAAAAGTAATTCTGATGCTGCATCTAACTCACCTCTTCCTTTTAAGTAACATTTTTTCTTTCTCTTGCTCGACTAACTATGAACTCTGTTTTAGGCCTGTGGAATCTGAAGTGATTAAGCTTTTCTTGATACAACTCAAAACTGATTGTTATGCTGTTGGGGTCAGAGCTGCAGCTATTGATCATATTCTAAGAATCCACCAAAAAAGGAAAGAAAAACAAAATCTAAAACAAAAAAAAAAGATTAAAAGTGCAAAAGATGCTTCAAAAGCTACTCTTCTGCCTGTTCCAGAAATTTTAAACTCAATCTGCACACTTGGCGATTTGCAAAAGAAAAACCAAACTGCTGTCCTCAGTATCAAAAATTCTCTGCCCTGCTTTGTCTCTTCAGTCAGCCGCCTGCAAAGCAAAATCAGAAGTGCTCCAGCGCAGCGGAAATGTCTATTTAACCATGTTTTTGTCTGATGCAACATGCAGGCAAGACTGTGGAAATTGGATACTGATGTTTTGAGATGAACATAAAGGATGGGAGGGGTTTCCTCGGGATTTCCTTGCATAATCCAATCACATCGACTGGTTGCCTTGTTCGCTTCACCAAAGAGACCAATAAGAAACAGATGGGGTGAGGTCACTGTGTTGTGGTCAAGAATGGAGGGAGGTGTGTGCGTGCAGAGGGGTGACTGAGTGCGGGAGTGCCGGAGAGGAATAGCGAGCAGGACTGAATGGAGTGAGGCTGAATGAATCGTTTGTGCACTGGAGATAAAGATCCAACTGTGTGATAGTAATTGAGTGAGTCAAAACTGAATTATCACGTCTTTGATAGAGACTCCTTTGCAGGCTTTTTGTGTCTCCTCCACTCTCATCGTGGTTATATTCACAGGATGAGTGCTGCTTGTGCACAGTGCACCTCTTTTCATTTCTGCTGATCTTTTTTTTCTCTCTTTGACAAGATGAAGTTAGACAGTCTTCTGCCCCTTTCCCTGGCCTCCTCTCCCTCTCTGTCTGACTCATTTCTTGTAGAGGATAACACATTGTGGTTTGCCACGGGGTCAAGGATAGATTAACTTTCCCCTAGATCTCTTACTTTCTTTCTTTAACTGTGTTCAGGGCAGGAGCTATCCAGCATCGATAACCCTCTGGCCCTTTCTTTTCCTTTGTCTCTTCTGCTATCTTACCCCCTCCACCTCCCACTACCAGCCCTCCTTCAGTTGGCAAAATGCCAGGGGAGAGCCTTCCTGCCAGCGTGGCACTACTGACTCCATTTTTCTTCTCTGCTTCCTCATGTCTTTCTGGCTCTGTTTTGTTGTGTTTCAATCACAAGTCCCTTGTCATCTTAATTTCATCAATTACCTGCTTTATAAGCTGTTTGGAAATGGATTTGTGCACGACTAATGCTAACGCTTTCCTTTTAAGGAAGTTTAGAAGCAAGATAAGGGAAGATTAATACAAAACTACCAGCTTTAGCCAACAGATCAGTCATCTTCATGTGCACAGCAGAAAGTAATAGCAGAGAAAATAGCTCCCAAGAACATCTAACAAAAAATTATTGTAATATGTAAAGTGGTTACCCATTATTAGTAATCGTTGGCATTTTAAGCACATCCAGCAGAATCTCTATGCAGAAAATGACTTGAACTTCACTTTGTGGAGGCTGGATACCTGAAATATTTGTTGAAAAGTGGAGTAAAACTCACTGTGTCTCAGACATCTTCTCTAGGAGGTTCTCAGCAACAGACTTCTCCTTCATATCCGTTGGGACACGGTCGGTGGGATAGTGGCTGTCCACGTCATTTAGCTCAGCCTCACTGAGGGTCATACCCATCATCCTCTTTTGCCTAGGCAACACAGAGCAAGAGCAGAGAATCAAGTTTAGCAAAAACATCTCAAACTTTTAACACTAAAAGGATAAAATGAAGACAGTGTTGTGCAAAAGTAACAAAAAAGCACAGTCAGCTTTTGATCCACCATGTAATACCAACTGGTAAGTGTATGAGTAGCAATAGCATCATTTGTCAGCATCACAGTGATCCCCAAACACACTGCTAAAGCAGTAAAAGTACACCCAGATAGAAAAACATACAATAGAACCAGTCATGGACTGGTCTCTCCAGAGGTCAGACCTCAACAACATTGAAGCAGTGTGACTTCATCTTGGTGAAAAAGTGAACAAAAGGCAGATAGCATCCAAAGAAGAGCTTTGGACCATTCCTGAAGAGTACTTAAAGAAATGACAAGAAAGTCGCCTAAAGAAGTTTACGCAGTGTTGAAGGATAGATGTGGTCATACCAAATACTTACTTTCAAGTTTCTTTGAATTGTTCAAACTGTGTTTTTACCTTATATTCCGTATTTCAATTTAAGCTTGCACATAAAAAATGAGGGGTGGTTCAAGACTTTTGTGGTTCAAGACTTTTGCAAAGTTCATTATGTTTTTTTAATTCATTAAAAAGGTACACATAAATCTAGGACTGAGAAATGGGCAAAAAATGGGCAACCTTTTAAATTATAGAATCACCTACTCATTTTTTCTCCATGACCTTCAACCTTCCTTTGTCATCTTGCTCTCAAATGTCAGATCAGTGTGCTTCATATGGATTTTGGTAAAGAGTGGCCTGCATATTTCTGTTTACCTAAGCACAGGTGTCATTAACATAGAATAGAGAAAGACAAGACAACCTTTTGTAGTGTTTACGCATAAAGATTTCATATTTAAATCTTTATGTGTAAACACTGGTAGTTTTGTATTAATCTTCCCTTTAGTGACTAATGTGTATTAGTCACTGTTGCAATTCTAAATGGAGGAGGGCTAGATTTTATAAATTACATACCTACAATCAGGATATGCACAGTAATGTTAAGTTCACATAACTGTTGAATGTTGTCAAATACTAACATTCATAAATAGCTTTAGACCTAGAAGTTGAATCCAATTAATTACCTTAAAAAACTGTTTCAAGTTACTTGAGTAATGCAGAATTGTAGTTATTGGGTTAACAATGCAAAAGAACTGAGATGGTAATTTAAAGCAGCTCAGTGTCCAGATAAGTGTTGTTACACCTTTTAACTCTCATTTCCAACAACAAACAAAATAAACTTTTTGAGACCAAAATCTGAAAATTATTTTTCAGCTTGTTTTGAAGTAACTCACTGAAAATGTATCAAAGACAATAACAAGACAGATCATCAAACGGAAGCTTTCTTTTTTTTAGTGAGGAGAAACACCAACAACACCAACCTTTAGATTAATAAAAAGTGTAATTATTATTGTAGTAATTTTTTAAAAATTAATTAACCAAAGTTTCAAGAATGTCCCTGATCACATACCAGCCATTAATCCCAACCCTGGATGTTCTAATCATGTTGTGAGATGCTTGTTGTGCATTTATAAACTTCTTGCCAATTTAGTAAAGTATGTAAAGACTGAGTAGAGTTCTCACCTGAAATCCTCCAACTGTTTGGCCACTTCAGCAACTTGGACGCTCTGAATGTCCTGAACAAAGCGCTTTTGGATATCATCTGTGAGCACATCTAGACGGGATCGATCTTAGGGAGAAGACGGAAAAGAGAAAGGAAAGAGTGAGTCAAAAACTAGAGAGAAACAAAACAACAATGCACTGACTTATATCTATAAACATCACTGGAAAATAACTTACCCAACTCAGAGTTTACGTGAGCTGGTACTGCCACTTTCAGAACCTGTAATGTGAAGCAAATGACAAAAAGATACAGAGTGAAAAATAGAAAAATGAGATACGATTCAGACAACATTCAGACTGACAGTATGGATTCTCAGATTGTTTTGTAAAACACTGTGATGCAGTAGCTAGATGTCACCACAGGGTGGCATTTTAACACAGGAAATATAGATAAGAGAAAAAACAGATACTCCAAAGGGGGATGCTCTGTGCTCATGTCAGCTCTGTCATTGACATGAAAATAACCACATGGGCCAACTTTACGTCAATAGGTTAACAGAGGGTTAACCTCCTTTTTTCAGTCCCTCCTTTTTTCACCCTGAAAGGAGGGACTGAGCGAAGATGATTCCTTCTACAGGGCTTTCCCACGATCTTGACAGGAAGCTGTGAGGCTGTACGGGCTGGCAGGGAGTTTGACTCAACTGATAGACATGTACAGTGCATGAGCTCTAAGGAGCAAATATAACGGACAGTAATGTGGGCCAGGTGTGCAAGACAGATACTGTACAGACAAAGCAAACAAAAACAATGGATTCCTCTCTCATAAGTTCATCTTATTTATTAAGCTGAGCAGCTCAGTAAATTCATAATTTTAGAAAAATAAAACACAATATTGTACTGATCATACAAAGGCTACTTTTGTCTTACTAACCTTGAAGTTAAGAAGCTCAAAGATAAGTTTAAACCTAAGAATTAAGAGAATATCAATGATCTAAAAATACATAGACAGGGAGCCAACCCTACAGTCTGTTATTATGGGTATATTTCAAATCATGCAAGCAGAACTTGAGCCAAAAGAACCTGAGGGAAGAAATCATTTTAGTGGTTATCAATTTTTTTTACAGTGCAATTATAACTCCATTTACAGCAAAAGGTAAATAAGGACAGATAAGATAAAGAGTATAAAGAGTATAAAATACTTTGTATTTAATTATCAGAGTGACTTCATTCCCTCTCTGTACTGAATTGTTCTGCGTTTTTGTTTTTTTGCATGAAGTCTGCAATAAATTTAATGTTTCAAGCTTTACATCTTCATCTCTATTTTGGCTATGAAAGGTATAAACATTTGGGCCAACTTTTGATAATCGAGACGGCTTTAAAAAAGACAGAAATGTTGAGTAGTCTGCTACTTACTGCACCCTTGTCCAAGAAGGTTGTGTAAAAATCCCCAAACTGCTTTTTGGTCTCTTTGGCACTGAGGTTTTTGAAGAGCTCAGCATGGAGGTAACAGAGCTGACAATTGGGGAAAAAGACAATTTTATTTAGTACTGAATAGCTCCAAAATCTTTTAAAATAACTACTTGCGCCAATTTATGACCACAGCTGTCACAATTTTATTTGACATGACCACTAAAGATCACAAACACCTACATCACATAAAGGCATGCCAGACATAAAAACCTAACCTCAGTTTGACTCAGTGTGCTTACATGTCTAACACAAAATGACTGAAATCAATTTAATAGTTGAATCCTAATGACAGTATCCCATAAAGTAGTTATTGTCCCCTCCAGAGATTATCATGCACATACCCCAACCTGCATTTGTCTAGTGGACGCACTATAACCCCAAAGCAAATTGACCACGCAACCACTAATGCAAACCACATTTTCTTAAATGCTGCAGAATTACAAATATTTTATTAACAGACTACACGACTCATGTCGTGACAAACATGAGGGAAAAGCAGGCGGGTGATGGAGCACATCATGGGTGTGAAACGTGTAACAGTACCTGGGTGGGTCATGTTCTCTGCATGCAGAATAAAGGGAAAAGGACAGGCATGCCTTTGATCAGCACTGACATACACACTCAAACAAACCTTTTTCTCTATTCCCATGGGGGTTACTCATCAGTATTATGCATTCCATGGTCTCCAATTTAACCCCAACCAACAACTAATTCTAACCTTTATCCTAAATCCAAATATTAACTCTGAAAAGTAAAATTGAACTCATAGGTAAAACAGTCTTAATCCACACTGAGGTACAGTGGACATCAAAATAGCTGTTTCATGTGTTTCACACAAGCCAGACAGAAACTGATGACTATTATGATTTGGATTTCATGATTAGATCATATCTAAAAGGTGATATACTAACTCTACATTTAGAGTTACTCATCATTATCGTCACTAACTTTGTAAAAATATCTGTTAACAGCAGCTGCTCTGTGGAAGCTTGTGTTATCTCAGTTTCATATAGCTTGTTGGCTGTAGTGGACCTTGCATAATGTGAGTTCTCACCAGGGGAGCAGGGTCAAACTGCAGAATGACATGTTGCAGGAAAACCAGCAGGTGGGTCGGCCGACTCTTCAACTGCTCTATGTGGTTAAAGGTGTTGGACCGGTCTTCCACGTACTGAGACAGACAAAAATAAATAGGTGTAAAAGGAGGTGGAATAACTTATCTGAGATATGATGATCAAGTAACATTCAGTCCTTCATGTGCCACTGTTTTCTGCACTCACCTCATTCAGATCGTTTTCAAAATCCTCATCCTCAGCCCCGATGATGCTCATGGCTGGGTTAGAGCACTGAGGTCCAGACACACCCTGCTATGGAGAAAGAGGCAGGGAGGGGAAGAAAACAAAACAATTAGCAAAAGTTATGTGCTATACTTTGAAGTGGTAGGGTATCTCTTTGACGTCCTGGGCTCCCACTGAGCAGAGCCAGACATAAAGCCAGATGACAGTTTACACACAGTGAACTTTCCCAGTGTTCTACAAGTTCAAGCAGAAAGATGGGGAAAAATGTCACAGCTTCTAAACCAGCCTTCTGGAGAGATCGAGACAATCCTGATGGGCCATAATAGTTGTGGGGTCCTTGTATTAGAAGCAGAGACCTGCTTTAAGTAGAATCCCATTCATACAATCCAAGAAAGTCACAAAAATTCAATGCATTATTTATTTTTCACTAACAATGAGTGCTATTAAATAAAAATTTATAAATGTTTTTAAAGAAGATCTGTTCATTTTAAATTTAATACCTGTTAAATGAAAAGCTGGGGTATGCTTACCAATGTCCTTACTACTTCTTTTAAAAGGAACTATTGCTAACTGTATTTCTGAATTTGATTTAAAATTGTTTTTTTTAATGACTAGAAGACAATGCTTTATGAGACTGTGTTAATATAGCCACCATCGTAACACAAATTTAAAAAAAAGTAAATTAGACAAGATAGGTGTGGTTAGTACTGCTGCCTTACTCTACGAAGTTCTGGGTTAAAACTTCCTGTTCTGTGTGAAGTTTGTGTTTAAATATACAAGTTTCGTTAACTGGTGATTCCCAGAAAGTTGATTCTGTTCATCTGGAGGCACCGTGGGAGAATGTTTCATCACTGACTTCTTCAGTCTCAGCTCCCTGCAGGTTTCTCCAACCTTATAAACAGTACAGTTGCATAACAATCAAAATAGAATGATGAACACAATCATCTTTCTGGGATTTACTTTAACTGGATTATTGAGTATGGATCAAGATGTTAAACGTGATTTTAAACTTACTATAGGTATGAACATGAGAACAAAAACTTATCTCTAGAGTAAAGCACCAAAATGTTTAGGAAATCCATTTAGAGGTGCCCCCGGTAACAATTTGATAGACAGCTAATCACATATAGTTGTATTTTGGGAACTAAGTTAGTAACTTGACCTTTACTATCCGTTTGCACAAATGAGGAGAGCAGCTACTTAAACATATCCATCTGTGTGTCAGCTGGTGGCTCATAATGAGTGAGGGATGCATTACATTTTGGTGAGGCTATAATCGTTTTGAACTTATGAGTTTACAGTGAGTACCTTTATAACCACACTCAACCTTTTGGGAATTGTTTTACAATTTTTACTCAATAAGAAAACATAGTCCAGTTTAGCACCAGGGTTTCTTTCCTCCATAGACCAGTGCTGTTGTAACATGAACTGAATGTTGCCTGCTGAAATAGGAAAGACATCATATGGATGGTGGCATATGCTGCTACAAAACTTGTATACATTAGCATTTATGGGGCCTTTATAGATGAATAAGACAGCCATGCCTTGTTGCATCTCCCATGTAGTACCATTATGGATAGAGGCTTTTGAACCATCTACTGAGAAACTATATGGCCATCTACTCTTAAACCCAGGGTATGGGTTCAAGTTTTCACACTTTTCTTAGGTGAACCTTTAATTTATTTAATAGGCAATTATGGACCCTGTGACAAACTGTGTTCACTCATGATAGGTTTAGGAAGAATTCTGGAGTCCACACAGTGATTTATACGGCTGTTTGCAATGCAGTGCTGGCTGATGACTTGAAGATAACAGGCTTTAAATATTGGTTTTCAACCTTGTTCCTTTTTTATTTTTTAGAGAGATTTCCTTGGATTCTACTTCTTCCTTCAATTCTCCCTGGGGTATAACATGCATTGGAAAATATCACATTCTCTGAAGTGTGTCCAGATTTTGTCCCTTATTTTTCCAGACTTGTGTTGGGTTCAGTAAAAACATTCTGCAGAAATCTCTCCTCTAGTTGGGACACAAGCTCTTCAGGTCTAAAAATGCAGCTCAAGTAATTGGAAATAAAAGGTTTATTCTAATTTTTGCTTTAGAAAATGATGAATGGGAAAAATTACATCAATTTAGCCGCACCCTTTTACAGCCCAAACCATTTCCTCTTCCCCAAAACACACAAACAACACACAGCCCTTGTATTCAGTCCTCTGAAGGTTGCAGACCCAGAGCCGCCACCAGGGAACACCCAATTACATACACACAGTCACACAAACACACGTTAAAAAGCTGCACTGTAGTGTTAGGTGAGAACACAAGGCACAGTGAGTACAGAGACAAAATGGTTAAAAACTGATTCATCTTAAAAACATAGGAGGGGAAAAAAGAAGAGAAAGTCATGACCAAATGTTAGCAAGAAGCATATCTGAACGTTTCATCTAGCACCTCTTTAGTATAAGGACTCATTTACATTCATTCTTTTCTATTTCATTTTGTTTAAATAGCATAGTACCTGTATGTATTTAGTGTAGGAGGGACTAATGATATAGAGCTTTATATTCTATTCTAGCCCAGAGTCAAGACTAAAGACAATCAGATTTGGATAAGTGTTGTGCTTTTTACAGCAAGTTTCCTATTATAATCTGTATACAGTGCAAACTATGAAAAGGTGTCAGCTATTCAGCTTTGCATCACCATTTATACTGCGGTAATTGCACCTTTACTATTTTTTAACCAGTGTAGACAAGAATATCCTGTTATAGCAATATTAAATTCTCAGGATTATTACATCAATGTAGTTACATAACTTGTAATTTGTAAGATATTTGATAAACTCACTATATTAGCTTCTTCTAAAAAAATGATTCATGAAATCCACAGAGTTTCTCAGTGTCTTTTCATACTTTAAGCACACTTTTTGTGCCATTGTAAACTTGCTCACATATGCGGTTTTGCATGTTGTCTGTTAAGTAGGAACAAATAACTCACTAAGTGGTTAGAGTTTATAAGGAAATATGACTGTGTGTAGATGATCATTATTTGATTTATGGCCTGATTTCAGTGTATGTGTTCAATAGAAGATAAGTGGGGTGAGAAAGACATGAAAGTCACCGTGAGCTCTGGTAAAGTGAGGGAGTGAAACAGTGGGTAAGATTGCAAACAGCCAGAAAGTGAAACTGGGAGACAGGCAGAAAGTGAGAGAATGTGTTCATTCATGGCCATTTCCAGTGGGCTGCAGGTTGAGAAAGGCCAGTGTTGGAGCAACATGCGTAGGAGGGGTTAGCCAAACAGAGAGACACAGGCCTGCCAGGGCCATGAACGCACATCTGCACGGACATACACAAACATGACACAGAGGGAAACGTCTCCTCTTTTTCACACCCATAGACCCAACCGCCAACGCCATACTAAAGTGAGACCATCAAAGATACCTTATCATGCCACTGAAGAAGTTCTGACACCATGA